TGGAGTCTCCTTCGCTGGAGATAGTCAAAACCTGCTTGGATGCAATCCTGGGAAACATGCTCTGGAGGACCCTGCTTGAGGAGGGAGGTTGGACTAGATGATCTCCAGAGGTCCCTTCCAACCTCAACCATCCTGTGACCATTCCTCCTCATTTCTTCCTGAAGGGAGATTCTATAGCAGGAGGAAAAAAAACTCACCAGCAATCAAGAGATACTACTTTCACATTGCCTTTAACAAAGGCTCTTACAGATTAGCTTTATCCTCTTTAATGAGCATGGAATCTGAGAGCCCCTACCAACTGAACACTGAAATATAAACGCAAAGAACTATTACAATTTTAAGTTGAATGCAAAGTTTTACACAGGTAAAACACACATAGCAGGTACCATACAACATCAACAGCCCACAAAAATGCTTCAGTGACATGATGCTACAACGTAACTTCCCCAATGAAGTGAACACTGAACAGCCAGTTTTACAGATTTTATAGACCAGATCCGCTTAATTACCAACTAATGTGGGAAAGACTACAAGGCCAAGTACTCCTTAGAGCTAATGAAAGAATTTATCACAGTACCCCATCCTTCCCAGAGTTTCTGTAAGAAAACTGGTCAGAAGTAAAGCTCCACATCAGAAAGATAAATGCAGGATAAAGACGCATCCAAGTTTAAATACAATAGTAGCAAAAGTTCTATGAAAACTTCAACCAGAAGGCTGAACTCAAGAGCTCAAAAATATTAAAATACCAAAAAACCCAATAAACTTGCCAAAAATGCAGTATACTTGTCCCAAACTTATTCAGGAAAGCTTTGGTGATGGACAGAAACAACACTCAGTGAGGCTCTCATGAGTAAGAGGTAACAGAGGAACATTCAAGTATTTAACACTGGTCAAGCCTTCTGCTCCCCAGCAGATATAATTTTAAACTATTTGATTGCATAATCATTGCCTTCTCACTGCTAGAAGGCTGCTTTATTTCCTCAGAGATAGGGTCTTGACCAGCATGACCAGATATCTTCCAAGTAATAGGATTGGCAATACAGAAGCCCACAATAAGAAAGTTTTACCCCAAAGTGATTTAATAAAATTGAACCAGATTCAATAACAAGATATACACAGGCATGAAGCTTATTCTGGCTTTGTTCTGTTTTGCATCTTACAGAAAACTAGGAGAACACCAGAGAATGAAATAATGCCATCTTAGGCCTGCTTGGGAAAATCCCAAAGTCTTGAGAAACCGCAAGTCAAAAATACATTTATTACAGTACTGGACATTTACTCAGATTATGGCCTTCCTGTCATTGTACAAATACACCTTTTCACTGCAGTCTTTTGCTTTGTGATCTTTGTACATTCAGAGAAGACAGCCAAGTACCTGATAACATGTCACAAGTAATATCCAACATGGCTTTAATGTACTGGATTCTAATTCCTCATGAGAATCAGTTTAACACCAATCAAGCTGCCCTTAATGCTGTAGGTGCTCTAACACTCCATTTACTGTTAGGAAGAAGATATTTACTTTGACATTGACAGGTAAGGAAGAAGTCATTTTAGTCAATTAACAGTCTGTTAGAAATACTCTAGAAGTATACTACTGTAAACAAAAATATTCCTGTCTGGTATTTCTTCTTTGAAGAATATCATGCTTCCCCTTGTTTTATCAGGGTCACAGTTAAAGATGTATCTTAATTTAAACCTTCTACTGGAAACAATGACACAAAGCATTTCCTCCAGAAAAGACACAAGCCTAGGAGACTACTCTACAGTCTTCTATAGTCTTCTTTTCCATAGAACAGAAAACTTAAGTTTTCTATTTTAATAAGAAGGATCTCACTACTACAAGAATGTGATAAGAAGAAATAAAATATACCCAAGAACATGTAAAAAAAACCAGAGTGCACATAACTGCATTTCCTTTCTCACCAAACTCCATGTCAGTAGTAACAACACCTTTGATCAGTAATTGGTACAATCATACAAACAGAACCTCACTGAAGCAGCTCAGTAGACCAAAAGTAGTAGTTTCACAAAGTGGTACAGGTTCACTTGATGAAAACAAATGCACAGTGTAATTAAGGCTCACATTCTGCTGTTGATAAAAGTTGTACCTAACTTTGTTCATGTTGACCATACTAATCTCAGGATACAGTTTAATATGGGCATACTGAAACCAAATAAAGTATATTCCTCAGCATCCCAGATATCACTATCATTCAGAATCAGATTTGGTGACAACAAATTAGTGAGGTACTAGTGTCCTACTTAAGGCACAAGTCTATCTTAGCATGCTGTATGCTCCAATTCAGATAACATAAGGAGTTTAGCACTGAGAGAAGGACAACATATCTGCTATTATTGGAAGTATGCATATCCTCAAGTCAGATTAATGGGTCTATTTGCTCAGAGCTCACACTCACTCTGAAACCAGTTTAATAGCACCTTGTCACATCTGAGCCTATGCAAAGACCAGCTACACCTGGTATACAACAAAGTCTGTTAACACCTGTGATGAATGCATGCATAACAACAAGCTATTCTCATCAGTTCTAAAGATGTGGCTAAAGCCATGGACTTAAAACCATTTAGTTGTTTCACATTAAGGCTTGCCTTCTTCAACTGCTTGCTATCACAACTACGTAGCAACAGGTTAGAATTAAAGCTGGTAATTAAACCAGCACATTTTGATATTAAAGGATTAATAGAAGAATTAGGTACTGGAAAGTGTTATTTCTTGATACTGAAGTCATGAGATCATGGTCCTTTTTCGAATTTCAAAACCTCTTAATATGCAACTCAAACATTCACTTTAATGTACAGTAACAGCAGCAAACAGTCTCCGTTCAGGTTAGTTTTTTCTGAATGGCAGGCAGAAATTGGATATTTTGCACGACTACTTGGACTACGCTGCTCTTCAGAGGACTTCATAACCTTGTCTTTTTTTGTCATCACATTCACAATGTTGCAATAGTCAATCTTAGATCTGACCTCTGGACCTCAGCACATGTGCTTGAAAAGCAGAATTAGCCTTCTCAGTGAAGGCTGCCACTAAAAAGCCCACGTTTTTCTTGCCTTTGAGGCAAGAGATTTCAGTGGCAGTGGCTGCTTAAGCATTTGCTGGTACCCTCTCCTTCCTCATTACAGGGAGGAATCTGAAAACCAAGTCTGACAAGAAACATTATCATCTTTTGGATCTGTTCCACAATTCAGTTAACATACATTTGTGCTGTGTAGTGAGGGATCTAAGGAAATACTAAACACAGTTTTCATTTTCAATATACACATGTATATATTCACATGGCAATGTATTGGGCAACACTGTAGATTGCATTTTTGATAGACCTCAGATGAGCTGAGAGCCTGTACAATAACATGCCTTTCTTCAGACCATGAAAGGAAACTCCCAATCTTTCAGTACCAGTGCTCGCTCTGCAGCATTTAGCATGGTTGAATGCTTTCCAAATTGAGAGTAAAAACATAAACATGTAAATGGCTTCCCAAAAGGTTTCTTTTGTCCTTGAGACATTATGCAAATATTTGTTTTGACCATTCCTTGACTTTCAAATGAGGAAATGAATATTCTCCCACTGATACACATCATAACCAAGTTCTGCAGAAGTCCTACACAGATGGTCGGTTTGGACTTAACTGAAGTTACTTACAAGTTCAACTTCTTACACAGATCTTAAAACCATTTAGTGAAAGTTAGCCATTTGATTCTTGTGCTACTTATGCAGGACGATACACGAAGCAAGAGTTAAAGGCAGTAATGATTAAGCGTCTGCGCTCACAGAAAGGCCTCCATACCTCGAATGCTTTTACACTTCTGACTGCAACAGATTCCACCTGCTTAGATGGAATGCACTTTTCCCTGAAGGAGCACTAGACTGTATCTTTAACCTGGCATAAACCTATAAAGTTCATTTAGTTGTCCAAAGATGTCATGCAAGTTATTGCAGTGGCACAAAACAGCAATTAAGCATTGGCCTCTTATAGTGTCACTACTGACAGCTCCATCACTGACAACTTTGTGTTGGAACTTTCTCCTTTGGAGAGAGGAGAGACACAGGATGAAATGAATTCTACATATTAGTCCTTCTGCACTGATAGCTTCTCTAGCCTCAGAGATAACTTCTCAGCAGCCAGACAGGAAGTCACACCTAAGGAAATTTTGAATATGGCTGGTTTCTTCTCCTCTGTAGGATACTATGAGGAAGTCGGGTTTGTTTCATAGTCACGCCACAGAACTGCATCGAAGGTCTCATCTTTAAGAAACTTAGTGATGTGGGACCAAGACACCTGTAAGAGCAACAGCCCTACACCTGAGACCAAGCAATGAATGTAACTACATAGCAGACATCTAAAATGCCAACACTTTCACAACTGCTGGCTCAAGAATGAGAGCATTAACTTTAGCATTGAGTTTCACCACTCCTTATACCAAAGCCAGGCAGTTTTCTCATTTTTGCCAAACAAGATATAGGACAAACTTGCTTACATTTAGTTACCTTTCCATCCTGTCCCTTTACAGGAAAAAGAACAAATGAGAACATGTAGCTAGTCACATGTATCCACTTCCAGAAACACAGACATAGCTCATACACCAAGCCTGAAAGCACAAATAGCCCAAAGTTCTTCCCTACTAACAGCCTGCACTGCACAGCCAAAAGCTCCCAGAGATGCAGGCAGTTCCTGTCAGCCCTAGCCTAAGGATGAGGTTCCAGAAAGGCCCCATTGCTTTGACCCCTTCAGCAAGCAGGCAGAGCTGGCTTATCAAGCTCTACTAGCTAGGCACTCAGGAAGTCACCCAAGCTGACCCCAAATAACCTGACCGCAAGCTCCAGGAATAACGAGGCTCCTCAGCTCAACACCAGTGCTATAACACAGCTGAGCCACATCTGCCTGCCCAGAAGCAGCCCACCGGTGGCACCCACTGCCCAGACCGGGGTGCAAGGAATCTGCAGTATCACAAACACCCCGCTCCCCCCGCCACTGCTTACCATTATGGTCGTAGACGCTGACATAGGAGATCCCCACTGCCATGCACC